TTTATATAAACATTGTCAAATTGGATAAAATTGTGTTATTTTTTATGTTGTTACCTCTAAACCATTGAGTATGTATAACGAAAAGTTGGAAAGATCATTTGGCTTTTAAACCGTTAGATCTTGTTAGTAATAATGGATGGTTGAGATTTTCTGTTTTTAGTTTTCATCATAAGCCCTGTTTTCAGCGGAACCTCCCCGTATATATATATATATATATATATATATATATATATATATATATATATATATATATATATTAATCATCTGGCTTAGATTCTTCTTTTGTTTATATGTTCTAAATTATATGTATATTAATCATGCTTTGATTCTTCTTTTGTTTATAAACATTTACATATCTGAATGAAAGTTTGGAAGAAGATTCCACTATTATACAAGAAAAAGAAATTTCTTATACAAGAAAAAGGTAATTAATCTAATGTTCTAAAGTTTACTTAGTATGTTTTAAAGTTTGTTCTAAAGTTTTCCATTATTGTCTAAAGATTATCATATATATTCAAAAGCTTAATTTGTAATCTAATGTTTGTCCATTATATTTTTTGTTCATCTTAGCACTTTATATTTGCACTCTATTTGCACTGTATGTAAGTTTTCAACAAAGCATACATGATTATGAAGTTTTCCTTTTGTGGTTTTATTTGATTATGTATGGAATTGATTTAGGTTTTGGTGTTGAGGTTTGACTTGGTTAATTTTTTTATTTTTTATTTTTTTTATCATGTTCTTAATTATAAGTTTATGTTCTAAATTATTTTCTGATTATGTTCTAAGTTACATGTCTATGTCCTAAAGATTATCATATATGTTCAAAAGCTTATTTTGTAATCTACTGTTTGTCCATTATATTTTATGTTTATCTTAGCACTTTATATTTGCACTCTATGTTATTTAACTTATGAATCTAATCATTTACATTTGATTTTAAAGAAAAGTCGTTAAAAATGTTGAAGCGGAAGTAATTGACAAAGAGAAATTTGAGAAACATGTTAAAAGTCAAAATATTTCTAAACAACGTAGCAAGCTTCCATCATGGCTTCAACCACCTCGAAAATTGAAGAAGAAGAAGAAGAAGAAGAAGAAGAAGAAGAAGAAGAAGAAGAAGAAGAAGAAGAAAGAGAAGAAGATGATGATTATGAGGATAACGAGGATGATGATGAAGACGATAAGAGTGATGTTGATGATGAGATGGATGAACCAAAGTTGGAGGAGGAAGATGATGAAAGAGAGGAGGTGGAAGATGAGAGTAAAAAGGTTCTAAATTATTTGTTGATGTTCTAAATAATATGCTTATGTCATATATCGCATGTTTATTTTCTACATTTCATGCTAAAGTAAATGATTTAAATGATATATTTATGTTCTAAAATCAGTTTATTATGTTCTAATCTATATGCTTATATTTTAAATTGTTTTCTTATGTGTGTTACTTTATTTTTGTAAGCTATATGCTTACGTTCCAGAGTTTATGTTTTAAATGATATGCTTATGTTCTCAACTTTTTTTTTAACAATAAACTAAATGCTTATGTTCTAAAGTACGTGTTTTTAACAGTAAACTTATGTTCTAAACTAGATACATGTGTTCTAAATTATATCCTTATGTTCTACTTTATGCTGATGTTCTAAAGTTTATGTACTAAATCAAATATTTTTCTCCTAATTTGTAATTCTAATATTCTGAATTGATTGCTTATATTCTAAACTATGTGTTTATGTTCTAAACTTTTTTTAGAGTGTTTCGAAAAAAAAAAGTGAAAAGTAAGAAAAGAAAGATTGAAAAAAAAGAGGATGACGAAGTTATCAGAGAGGAAAAGAATCTAAACAAGAGGACACCTTATCAAAGAGTTCCTCCTACGAAATTCATGAAAACGGTGTTGAAATATCTTTCTAATAAGCATAAACAAGCAATTAAGAAAATTAGATTTGGTGCTTTTTTGGAATTGGATGTACCAACTCATGTCGATTCTTAGTAAGCACTAGCATTAATTTTTTTTTATTTTTTATTTTTATGTTATATATATTTATTATGTTTTAAATCTTATAATTTTCTAAAATACTTATGTTCTAAATTAGTTTTAGATTATGTTCTAAAGTATTTTTAGCTTAAAGAGTATGTTTAGCTTATGTTCTAAAGTATATTCAGTTTATGTTCTAAATATACTGCTTAATTTTTTATATTCTAGGTTGTGTACTAATTTGTTTCTACTTAATATTTTTAATGTTTTCATAGTTGTGCCTTATGATTTCCAAATTTAGGTTGACAATTATGGTTCTAATCTAGATGTATTTTGTATTCTAAATATTGAAAACTTTAATTTAATTCTAGGTTGACAGAAATTTTTTTTAAGAATTTTGATTCCAAAAGATGTTGCTTGGTGCTACATGGGAGGGAAGAAGAAATATTTTTTCGATGAATCTGATATTCACATGACCTATGGATTGCCCATTGGAAGCATAAAAAATTATGAACCACCGGAGTAACCCAATGAGAAATGGGAAAAGTTCTTACAAAATTGGAGAAAAAGCTTTGGCCTACGAAAGGTATGAATATTTTGTTTTAAAATGTCACTTATGAGGTTATTCAACCTATGCTCTAAAGTTTAAGTATAATGTTCCAAATTTTATTTTCTACTTATCTTTTACTAAAGTGTTCTAAAAAGTTGTTATTTGGCTTATGCTTTAAATTATATTTTCTGCTTATGTTCTAAAGTTGTTATTTGGCTTATGTTCTAAAATTGTATTTTCTACTTATGTTCTAAAGTTTTTATTTGGCTTACGATCTAAATTGTATTTTCTGCTTATTTACTAAAATGTTGTTCTAAATTATACTCTATGTTCTAAAGTATTTTTTGTATGTTCTAAATTATGTATACTTTATGTTCTAAATTATGTATAATTTATGTTCTAAATTAGTTTGAAATCATAACCTCTTATGTTCTAAAATATTTTTTGCTTATGTTCTAAAATATTTTCTACATATTAATTATTACTTCCACCTATGTTCTGTTTTATATGTTTTATTTTGTCTCTTAAATGGTGCTCCAACAAACAGACAATTGATTGATAGGATTGAAAAGGTGAAAGAGGTAGATAAAAAAAAAAGGAAGTTTCCGATGAATTTATTTGGAATTTCGTGGTTTGTGTGGTCAATAGTTACATCCCCCGCTCAACTAACAACCCACAAATATACATCAAGTTTTGTATAGTTGTATGGATACGAAGAAAATAGTTAAGCTGGATTGGTGCACTTTTGTTAAGGACCACTTGATGGAATCTTGTAAGGAATGACAAGATGGAAAATCTTTCTTCACAGGTCCTTTAATCTTTCTTATGATAATTTTTAATTTCTTACCATTATTTATATATGTTATTTATATTATGATCAAAGTGCACTAAAAATAGTCTAAATAATTCTTAACATGAACTATATAGGTATTCTATTTTGATCATGTACAAAGAAAAGGGTTGCAGATACCACGAGGAGTTCCATTAATATCATTGTGGAACAAGGACAGGATTCATGTGAGTATGAAATTTGAAAAAGACCTTGGATTTAGACGAGGAAAAATATTAAAAAGAATGAAATTGAATGTGGTATGATTTTCGTATATGCTTATGTTCTAAAGTTTTTTATGTATGTTCTAAAGTGTATCCTGCATGTTTTAAAGTTTATACTTTATGTTCTAAAGTTTATTATGTATATTCTAAAGTTTGTAATTTATTCATATTATGATTTGTAGGGTGAAATCAAGAAACAATAAAAATTGGAGGATTAAAAAAAAAATGAAGAGCCATCAATTGTAATTATACCTTTTATATTATGCTTATCTTTTAAAAATTGTAGATAACATATTCTTACCTTTGATATATGTAATTTTTTTAATTACAAAAGTTAGTAATTTATAATTTATTCATATTATAATGTGTAGGATGAGAACAAAAACCGGAGGATAAGAAAAAGAAAAATGAAGGTCCATATGATTATTATATCTTTTATATTTATCCATACACTATGTTTATGCATATATTTTAAGAGTTGTTTTTATATTTTAAAAGGCGTTGAAAAAAAGGCAAGGGAAAAACAAAGGGAAGGAGAAAGTTATGGAAGAGCAATCCATGACATGTGATTCTACTACTTCTCCAAATGACATGATAGTATAATGTTTTGATGTTTCATTTATTAATTTATTTACTTATTTCTATTATGTTTTAAATAATCATTTACTTTAGATTCTATATATTATGTTTTAGGTTTTTTTTTTAATTTTTTTTATTATTTTTTTTATTTTTTTTATTTATGTTCTAAATTATAAATAATCATTTATTCTAGGTTCTAAATTTTTTTTTTTGTGTTAAAATGAAGGGTTTTTTAAGCAAATTTAAAGATTTGGCAAAAACTCTTACATCGAATGTGAAAGAGATGTATAGCATGCTAGACCAAGCAAAAAATATCTTTGTTGAGGAAGAAACAACCGGGAAAATGCATCATCTCATAGACAACATTTGGTGCAAGTATACCACAAAGGTATTATTATCATGTTCTAAAATACTTATATTCTAAATTAGCTTTAGGTTTTGTTCTAAAGTATTTTCAGCTTATAGAGTATGTTTAGCTTATGTTCTAAAGTATATTCAGCCTATGCTTAAAAGTGTAATTATGTTCTACATACAAATATTAGCCTTATTGTACTCTAAATTATGTTCTATTATATTATAGCCATTGGAAAATCAAGAAGAAGAAAAGCAATCAAAAGAAAGTCCTTCCATACTTAGTCAAGATCAACACTTCTTCGATGAGCCAGCATTCATCGAAGAATTGGATATGTTGATAAACAAAGCATGGAAGAAGTTCAAGGAAGAAAAGTCACCAAAGACATCAGCATTTGGTAATTTCCACTACTACAAAAAGTGAAATATATAACGCATAATACACAACTGTCAAGTTGGATAAGCGTTCTATTGAACAAAATAGAATACAAAATGGTCCTATATGATAATAAAAAAAATTTATCATAATAAAAAAAATTAGATATATAAATTTTGAGTTAAGAATACAAAATGGTCCTATATGAAGACCGTTCTCTTTGATTTATCAATTTATTTTACTTTTTTTAAGTGGCAGTTAATTAACATCATTTACCCACCACAAGTTAAAAACCTAACCCATACGACCCACGCACGTTTCCTTTGTTCTACTTACTGCTTGGCCGCCTCCTCCTTCTCCATTCTCTCCTCCAATTTTTTTTTTTTTTTTTTTTTTTTTTTCTCACTTTAATTCTTCTAGATGAACATAAGGTATTCATCAATTTATCAGTAACCTTAATTCACTTTTAAATTAGAATTACTCAAGACTGGTGTAGGTGTTGCACTTGAATTGAATCGTCGTTGATCTAATGTTTCAATTGATGAAGGTGCTGCACCTGAATTGTCTTCCGACGTCGATCTACTGGTTATTCTTATAAGGTATTTGCTCAATTGCTTCAGGTAAATGCCTTGGTTTTGCTTTGATTTCACCTTTCTTTTTCGAAACAATTTAAATTCACTAACTTGGTTTTGAAATTTCCTATCTAAATAATATTTTTTTATTAAAATTTATATACGTTATTAGAAGGTTTAGTATACTTTGTGCAGTAAAATTTGTATATTTATATTTAATACTTTGATATGAATTTTTGCTGTATATTTTGTTGATTTTAAATGTAATATTTACTAAGTTGGTTTATCATTGTTATGCTTTTTTGGGATCTAATTATGTGAATCAGTTCTGATTTTCCCTCTAATCAGATTTTTTCTTGTAAATTTTGTCTCTTTAATTAAAGTATTTACAATATAAATTTTGTTGTTTAATTTAATTTAAGTATGTTCGTTGAATTATTGTTTTTGTTCTAGTGTTTGAATTGTTAGTTTCATTTTATTTATTTTTTCGATTTTATTAACAAAATGCAGCTTTTGTTTCCATTGCAGATGAAACTACAAGAATTATCGAATACAACACTTGCTCTCGAAGATCAAGAATGGCTCATAAATGTCATCAAATTAAATTGTGTGAATGAATGAAAGAAGTGAACATTCAATGTATTTTTACTTTTTATTGTATCATTTGTTTTTATATCTCAGATCTACTGCGAGAGTATCAATCTGTGATCATTTTTTTCATTTGATTTTTTTAAAATTTCATTAATTTATGGAATTTAGAAAGAAATATTGTAAGTTTAGAGGTGCAGTGGTAAAATTTAAGCTTATTTTTTGAAAACAAAAAAAAAATTAGGAGAAGAGAACTGTCATGTAAGATAGGCGTTCTAGTTTTAAATGAATACAGAACACCTATCTTAAAATAATAGTTCCCTTTTCCTTTTTTTTTTATTCATTTTACTCATAAAATAAGAAATTGTTATTTTAGATGGGCGTTCTATATTGTATTGAATACAGAACGCCTACTACAAAAGACGTTTTGTTTACTTTATAAGGCACCTCACTTGAAGAACGCATATAAAGCGTTCTATATTGCCTATAATAGGCGTTTTATATTGTCTTTTTTTTTTTTTTTTTTTTGTAGTGTTCACATGTTATAATTGCATGCTAATTTTCTAAATTATACCTATGTTCTAAATGAAGCTCTTAAATCGAGTTTATGTTTTACATCAAATCCTTATGATATAGTAAAGTTCTAAAGTTGTGTCTTATAATTGTTATGAATGCACGCCGACCATTTGTACCTGCAAAATCATGGAAACTCCGGTTGGGTGGAGTTTTGCCTTCGATGATCAAGTTAGAACGTGTCCGGATGAATATAAGTACGGAATGTAAAGGTTTTTTCTCTTGGATTCTGAGAGAATTCTGCAATTAATATTGCTCGGGTTTTTTTTTGTGTATTTATGAATGTGTAATAAATGATGATTTTCCTCTATTTACAGTGAGAGGAGATCAGTTCTCCTTTCATAGGTTAAAGTGTCACGTGTCACTAGAGGATTAGTTCTATCTGATGATGACACGTGTGAGCATGTGATTGGTCCACGTGGACAAGGGGTATTTTTACCCTAAACATTTGTCTCTCACAGGTGTCATACTCTTAGAAGGTGACGTTTCGTCTCCTCTCTCTCTCTCTTTTTATTTATTTTTATTTATTTTTATTTTTATTTTTATTTTTTTTATTTTTTGAATTCGAATTGGGAAGGTGACAATTCGCCTTCTGGGTGTCTCTATAAGTAGTGACCCCCTCCCCTCATTTTCACAATTTGCATTTTTGAGAAATTTTCTAAGAGAGAAAAGAAAAGCTCTAAGACCGGCTGCTATTTTATTCAAAATCGCCTGTCTCTTCTTCACTCAAATGGCTACCGCTTGGGTACCCATTACTCAAAACTCATAGGTACCGCCTGATCATACTCAAATTCCTGCCCTTTGCTCTCAATATACCCTCATCCGGTCTACCGTCTAGGGTATCATCAAGCAAGATTTCAGAGAAACGGTTGGGCTGCTAAACTATTTTCAGTTGCTCATGAAGAGGGTACATCCGAGCAACCGTCTGGGTATCTAGCAAGCAACAAAAAGATTTATGGCTGCTGATCCGGATAGCCTACTTTCCTCTCGCTTAAAGCATCTTCAAGGTACCGTCTCTACCCCTTGCAACTTTTTTGAGTTTTTCCGGTTGTATAGATTGTAAAGAATAATGGACTCACCCAACACACACACGGCACGGCCTAGGACAGTTGTAAGCTGATCACCGGATAAGGCTGAGTCTAAGACCGGGGATGCCGTCTGGGGGTGTTTGGACCTCCCTTACTCTTCTGCGAATCCGACCGTCTCTGTTCATGTGCTGGACAAAATTGCTCGAACGAGATGAACAGCTGTAGACCCCGAATACCAGTCAGACGGCTCAGCCGAAGCTCCGCCTGACATTGTACATTATGACCATCCGGGTGTACCTAGCACATCCGGAGATGATATCTTGGACGATTTCGAGGATATAGGCGGTGAAGAGACTGTCCAGCAATCAGACTCTACAGAGTCTACCATGGAATCGGATGCCCCCCAAGAGGATGAGGAGGCATATAAATGGTCCTCCATCAATAACCCAACAGAGGTGCACATGACCGCCAGGGATGTGGTCACTCTAAACGCCACCTTACCCTGATTCTTACAGAAGTGCCCAGTTGGGGCAGGATGGGAAATTGTTGTGCCGACTGTAGAGGCAACCGATGTCTGGGATGACGACCTTGACCATGCCGACGATTATTTCGGCTGCTATGAGGCGGCATTCAAAGCTGACCTCCGGTTCCCCCTTCATGATACAATAAAAGCCATTATAAGGGGTTACGACCTTGGTGTTTGGCAGTTGACACCCAACTCTTGGGTGAATATACTAGGATATATAAACGCCTGCGAGATGCAGGACATAACGCCCAGCTGGGAGGTGTTTGCACATATGCACTACCTCAACCGTGCCCTAGCGGCTAGAATGCGTGGTATACATTGACCACGCATCCGGAATACATGATGACGCTTGACAAGCCGTCAAAATGGAGCAGCTGGAAGAGCAAGTTTTACTTGGTTTCTTCCCCATCGTTGCATCATAACCATCGGCTGCGTCGCTACAATACACACCCGGCTCTCCTTGGAAAGAAATGCGCCCTCCCTAGAGTACCGGAAGAGGCTTGGACACAAATAATGGAGACGGGGCTCTTCAAGAAGACCTCCCTGCCATTGGATGATGGGATAAAAGTCATTGTCCCTAAGAATTGGGTCCTTCATCCGGACTTGGTTAAGGACGAGGCGTTCCTTTCCGCCTGCGGCCTTAGCATAGTGTTTAGCAGACGTATGTTGACTGATAACCGGCAATTTATGCCGCCTGTATCATTCTTGAATGGCATTTGACTTTGATTTTCTTCTTTACAGAGAAGGATTAGAGATGGTGCCTCCTGAGAAGACGCCCGCTAAGTCTGCTGCACAGATCTAGAAGTTGGAGAAGAAAAGGGCCCAACTGGCGACCAAGGATGATGGGGTAAATGCCGGCTGAACTCCTTTACCGTTGCATGGTTTGATGTTAACTCTGTTATTAACCGGTTGTTTTGTTTTCTTTTGCAGATGGGGAGCAAGAACGTTCCTCGCTCTTTAACAAAGATGTTAAAAAGACCGGGAGAGGAGCCCTCCCAGCCTGCTTCTAAATCCAAGAGGGTACCGGCTGCCCTTGCCTCTTCTGGAAGGCCGTCTGTGCCTGAGAGGCCCACCTCAGCAGGCAAAAGCTTGAAAGACCTTGGCCTAAGCACAGGGCCGGCTGAGGTTGAAACGAGGGAACCTGAAATTCCCTCAAGCCGGCTGCTTGCTGTAGCGTCCGGTTTAAATGCGGCTGGGGGTGAGATGACCCCTCATCCTGAAAATGAAGGTATGGCTCTCACCTTTGATCCCCCTGGCCGCTTGGGCTTATGGGATTCAAGTCCCAAGCTACCAAATCAAGAGATTCTTCATGCAGCCGGCAGAATGTAAGTGTCGCCTATGCTCAATACTTAACAAATAAATCTATTGATGCAGATGCCTCTTCCCGTTAGCCTGACCTCCAACAGTACGCCAAGAGGATACTGAGGACCCTCACCCGGTTCGAAAAGGAGGCGGTGCCGGGTGTGCACCATGTCAACATTGACCGCATCAACTCACTGCTCGCTGAGGTAATTGGCCGGTTGGTGTGCTTTTGTACAACTTTATTCTTTTGCCGGTTGTAGCATAATTGAAAAACTAACCCCTTTCCGGCTGACTTTGCAGGTGATGCTAAGGGTAAATGACATGAAGGTCCCCTTGCGGAAGAAGCAGGAGGAGGTAAGGGATGCCAATAGAAGGGCAACCGATCTCATAGATGTTACCCAATACAACACTTTAATGTATGAGATTAAAACTAAAAGCCGGGAGATGAAACAGGAGGAGCTTATCAAGGAGCTCACGGTTGCTGCTGGGACGGCCAACAAGAAGGCGGCTAACTTTGAGCTTCAAGTTAAAAACCTCCAAGCTGATGTCAAAGTATTGGGGGAAGCTGACAAGGAGAACGCTGAGCTGCGGTTAGAGGTCACCCTCTAAAGAATGAGCTTGCTCAAACTCAGGCGGACCATAAGGAGAAGCTGGCAGCTGTGCAAGACCGACTGATCTCCGAGAATGAGAGCGACTGTGAAGAGCGCATGAAGATGGCCTGGTTCTGATCCACCCAGACACCGACTAGGCTTTCTTTGACTTGCGGTACAAGTACGCCATTGAGGTTTTCGATGCCCAGGTTCTCGGAACTGAGAAGCCGACTCCCTTTGAGGAATGGGCCGGCGTTGCCGAGGAAGAAGAGGAGGAGCAGGCGGAAGAAGAAGCGCCGGGTGAAGCTAACGAAGCTCAAGCCCAACAAACTCAAGATGCTCCTCCATCCGGCCAGGTCCAGATGTCTCAGCCTCAGCAACAACAACTTGATAGTTCTTTCTGTTTCCGGCCTGCGAGCCGAGTACTTTTGATGTATCTACTTTCCTCGAACGTATGTCCGGCTGACAATCATTTTTATTAATAGAACTTTCCGATTAACTCGGTTTTGCCCATATTTACCTTTGATATAATTTGCTTCAATTTTTGCAATTTTGGTAGTATGCTTGTACAATTCTTTTTCTTTTTGCAATTTAACTTAGCACATGCGGTATGCCGGATGCATTGGCTCTGCCTGCCCCTGGACGATTGTTTGCTTAATATTGCCCAACTCTAAGCAGGCAGCCGTCCAAACAAGCATCCGGACGGATAGATAGGCGGTCATTGACCGTATTTAAAGAAGTAGTTATTCTAAGTTGGATTAGCAGACGGTGCCAGCTAGGGCCAACCTAGATTATTCTTTTAACCAGCTGCGGGTTACCCTTTGGGAATCCGTCATTGCCGTTTAGGATGCAGGCGACCCTTGACCGGGCGTATATATCATAACCAGGTTGTGACCTTTGGGTTTGTAACGACTGTAGTGCCTTTGGGTAAAGACCGGTTAAATTTGACCCAGATATTAATTACCGTCTGTGTTGCTTTGAAGCAACGATCGGTTGTATCTAGGTTTCAATTAATTATTCAAACGGCCTTGAGTTATCCTTTACCTAGGCAGTCGGTTAAAGCCGCTTGAGTTATGATTTATGGAACAAT